ATTTATGTGCCCCCCCCCTCCAGAAGAACTTTTAAAGAACCTTTGCGTGGTGGCTCTTTGCAATAACTTCCAATGTAAAACCAGTCTGCTTTACTGTCCATTTTCCAGGGCGCATTTCTGTTCTACTAGGGTTTTTTTGGTTCAGATTTTATTTTTTAAAATGCAGAGAAAGAAATGGCCATTTCATTTGCACAAAGAGGGCAAGAGATTTAGACCTATTTTTGAAAATGTATGAAGTGCAGATGGATTCTTGATTTCTTCTTTTTTCTACCAACAAAAATGCCTCATCCAAGTTGTCTAGAATGGCTGCTTCTCAGTGCTTCCTTGAATGGCTAGGTGACCCTGTAGCCACACAGACACTTGGATCAGTCCAGGAAGTGCTACAAAAGATAAGCAGTGTCCGCCTTATTGTAAGAGCCTCTTCACTCCATACATTTAAAAAAACCTGTTTTCAAAAACAGGGAATACTGAATGGATTCCATTCCTGCTAACATTAGAAGCACCAAGTTGAAATTTGTTGCAGCAGGACTCATGGCTAGATTGTTTTACCTTCTTAAATTTGAAGGCAGTAATTCCACATGAAGAATTCCTAGCTTAGCACTGTAGCCTGGTCTTGGCCTGTTATTGATGTTACTAGACAGCATTGTGATCCATTCTGTAGCTGGGATTCACTAAAAGTTATGGGATGTGTCATGAAGATATGGAGACAGTCCTGTTGGATGGGCCAGATTACTTTCTCTCTAGTTAAGGGCTAAACTGAAAAATTGAAACACAGAAGCCATGATGCCTAAACATCTGCCACAATCTCAGCTTTTTTTAAATTAAATTGTGTGTCCCATATTCAACAGAGATTTGAAAAATATCCCACAATAAAAGCACAAACCCGAAAACATTACCAAAGCTTAAAAAAAAAAAAAACTTTTTGCTTTAGCCACAAAAGGCACCCTGTGCTAGAGACCTAGGTTGCTTTTACTTATTCTTAAACCAGATACAATTTAAGTACACACATGTTTAAATCCATGCTATGAAGTAATGACTAAGGTGTCTCTCTGTCATTATTATAAAAAACAGACTTGCTTCAGAAATACAAAAGAAAGCAATATATCTTAATAAGGTATCATGTGATAAGGCACCTGAATATTTTTCATCCCAGAGATCAGTGCAAAATCCCACAAAGTTCTTATGCTTGCAGCTGGGAGACCGTAACTCAGGAAAGCAAAATATGTTGCTTGAAATGACCACACAGAGTTATTTAGTACAAGAAAAGAGCATTAATTGGTCCTTGTTTAGTTAAAACTGCTGGCACTGCTAATTTCTTGTGGTCATGAAGCCATTTCACCTTCAATAAAAACCACTTTGCAAACTGCCATTCAGGATCCTCTCGCTACTTTTTTATGTATATATGCAAAGATGGTTTCAAATGCAGACATGGCAAACATGCCTGCATTGGCTTACTGTGTTCCCCATTCCAGATGCATCAGTGATGGGAAGATTATATTTTGAAGGGGAACCTGAGAATTATATAGGTCCTGTCTGTTAAATAGGCCTTGTACACATATAGAGCAGCCCCCCAACACACGCTTATGTATTTTGTTCTATAGCACGTACACCTGAGATGAGAGAAAGGTGGCCCTTTTCTTCCCACCTGTCTTCCTTCTAAGTAGACCTTCCGATCTCCAACATTCTACTTGGAATGTTGCTTAGCAGCACTTACCTGTATCTGCTCTTAAAAAGAGAAGAGGATCCAGAGACTAAAAGACCCCATAGACTAAACCATGAGGTGGAATTACCTAGAAGATGTAGACTGAAATAGGAGTTCAAACTTTGGAATGAAGAAAATGGAGTGTGAGGGAAACTCAAGGACAACTTCATACCCTCCCCTTTGCCAACCAACCAGCACAACCATCTTCAAACTAGGGCTTAAAGCCACATGCATCTCTGCACAGCAGATCAGGAAGCCATTCCGAGTTCTGCCTGAGTATAACTTCTGTGCCACTGAGGCACATCCATGTTGTTTCTTGAGCAGCTGTAAAGAAGCAGCATGGCTTTGCACGAGGACTCACAGTTAGGTCAGCAGGCGGCAAGGGGTAGAAGGTCTGGCTCTGCACACAGACGGTGAGCGGAAGGGATCAGCGGAAAAGTCTTGCAAGCAGCAAAGCCACCCAAAGGTATGCAAGCCAGAAGAACTGAAGCTGCATCTTGTGGCAGCAGATTCGTTGTTAAATTTATTCCACAGGGTCCTAAGGTCTCTCTTTTTGAATCACCACAAATACTGCAGGCAATACTGCAAAAGAAGTGTCTACAGATACAGCCTGGACAGTATGAGGTATGCATACGATCCTCTGTCCGCTACAGTTCCCAAGCTTAGCCCAGGTCCTATTTCAAGCTCTGTCTACAGCCAAGTGTGCAAGGGAACAAGGAGATTCTATTGCAAGTTTTTCAGAAAAATCCATCCAATCACTTTCTCACTTCTAGGGTTCTCTGAGGAAAGAAGGGGTAGGCAGTATTTGATGTAAACATGCACACAGTATATTTAGTTGGTCATGCATAAGGTAAACAGTGTGAGAAAATTTAAAAAAAAGTTGATGCCCACCACGTCGTTTCTCCTGATACATCCCACTGTCTCAGCGACCACACACAGACCCATGTTTGGCATTTCTGATTATTGTCAGGGATCTTGTTTTGCTTTCGTGGGGAAAAAAAAAAAGCCCTGACATTCAGTGTTAAGAATATTTATCCACAATTGTGGATTGAAATAATTAAATAACTAGATAAGGATTAAAAAAAAAATTGGCAAAGGTACGATTTTCTAAAATGCTATACTGAAGGTTTGCTCACATTCAAGTATTGTTTTTGTCCAGTTGAAAGCACAATTTCTTTTTTAATCATTTTGCTCAAAACAAAGTGACAAGCTGTTGCTCTCCATCCTTATTTGTTCAATGTGCTGGCTGGCAAGCGTGCCATGGCCCTGGTGCCAGATTTTGTGAAACAGGCTTATGAGCTTACTGATCAGTTTTTCATCCCTTCTTTTGTAGATCCATGGTAAGTATTTCAAATTTTATTTTAGAAGAGTTATCCAATACTCCTAGTATATAATTCTCATCTTGGGAAGCTAAAATCTAGGATATCTAGTCTGGTAATCTCACTGAATAAAAAGGAAAGTAAAATAACACCAGTTCTCCCTCTGGCTTCTAGGTTTCTTTTGGCTTCTTCAAGACCTTTGGGAAACCGTAATGAGGATTTTTTTCACCTGTTTTCCAATTAATTCGATTTGGAGACAGTCTTTCAAAAGCAAGTACTTTACTACTGATAATTAATAGCTGATATTAATCTGCTCAACTATCTGTGCAACTGAAGCAGCATTACCACCAGTTTAAAGATTGTAACTGGAGGGGTCAGGGATACACATTGAATTGTATTTAACATGACATCTGGTTAGGATTTACCCAGTTCCGAACTTTTACGTGTGTGTATGTGTGTATGTATGTTAAGTAGGTAGTTAATATAGATCGATCTAATATTCCAAAGAGCATCTATTTTCATCCTGAAATTCAAATGACCTTGCATGTGCCTGTGTTTAAATGATTCCTGTCCTAGTAGAAAGATGGCATTGCTACTATTGTTATGGGTCTCTTATCAGCTGGCACATATGTGGTTGGCACAGCGAAGACTGGATTAGCCATGAAGTTTCCCAAGTGGAATAAATAAGGGAGAG